AGACTCGTTTCTAAATTACTTATTTTTTTGCAAAATGTTTTGTTGCTTATATGAATAACACAGATGAGTGTTCCTTTTCCAGAAACAAAACCATCTGAATGGTGGTGGCATTTCCTATCAAAAAGCCACCTTTCCCCATTGCATTTCAAGTGGTAAGCTAACTTCAGGTACCCAGAACAGGTGATGTGCTTCTTCACCAGTATCCTACTGCTGTCTTCCAGAACTTACCTTTTGCCGTGACTTCTTGGTATGTCATAGTTTCGATCAGGGCTGTCAAAGTCCCAGCCTGCGGGCCAGATGTGTCACGCACTGGCCGTGCCCATGCATGGTTTAGTGAAGGAGGAAAAAGTCCTGATATGTCATGTGACACCACCTTGATGACATTAACCTTAGACTGTCTACTATTGACCTTACCCCCTTCCTAAGAGGCCTGTAGGGAGCATGCGTAAGCGCACCAATCGTGCCTACCGTCCCTATCCTATTTTTTTTTTCTTATAAGTATCTATCTCATGTATTCAAAACTATATTTATTCTTATACCTGTATCTTGTAAGCGATCGACAAATCAAATAAATACTAAATACTAAAAAATACGACATGAATTTTACACCTCTGGTTCTGATAAAGCCAGCCTTGCTTTATTTGTCTAAAACTGCTGGTGTAATTATACCGTTTTATCAATGGAAACTGCTCACTATTTCCAACAGTACCACTGTCTTTTAGCAGAAACACGTTTTGGTTTAGTGCTTGCTTCTGGACCAACAACACCCCCCCCCCCCAAAAAAAAAAGAAAAGAAAAAAAGAATGGTCTGAAGAAGTCACCACTGTCATGGAAATGGATTGGGAAATTATGGGGAAAAAAACCATATTCAGCCCCCAAATCTCATTGATGCTGACACCATCCAAGGATTGCATCATTTGCTTTCTAAAATGCTATTAAAATATATACTTTGTCATATTTGGCTCGTCAAGAAATATTGATATGGTGTACCTTTTTTCTGAATCTGCTAAATTTTTGACAATAGGATTCAGATATTCACATTTTCTTGCTTTTAGAATGTTGTCAGGAATGAACATTCTTTATGGAACAAAAAGACTTCTTTTGCTCAAGGTCAGCTGATTGATAGGCAGGAACCATTAAGTCCTCAATCTACGAAGAAGTGTCTTTATTCAGAAAGGGTTTTTTAAGTTAATACGTCAGGAACTTATATAAGAAGCTTCAATTGAAACCACCAATATTTGGACTATGTGTTTCTGTCTGGAATCTGAATTGGTTTTAATGTTGTGAACTTAAGTGTTAAAAAGTTATGAAAATAAGGCTCATCTCTCCTGGAGCATCATTTCCCATTCAGGTGTGTAGTGTTTGAAAATACCACACTCCTTTGAAAATACAATAAATCCCATCTGATTTTTACAGAAATGTTTGGTCCCTGTTAAAAATAATATTGTTAGATCAAATAAACTCTTGGTCTTGTTCAGCAGGGCTCCTGATTATGAAAAAAAAATACCTAGATCATGTTAAATAAATAATTCTATGAATATTTCCAGTTGGCCAATTTTATTGATTTTTTTTTCTCCTGTAGCTAAAGTTCATTAAATATACATTATGTTTATATCATATACAATCATAAAAGAGTGTGTATTCTTCCTTCTTCCCTCCCTCCCTCCCTCCTTCCCCTCCCCTCCCTCATGTTTTGTGTGTGTTTGTGAGCATGAACTTTATTTTGTTACATTAAGGATGATTATTCATGTTACTCAGGGCCTCAATAGCCAGAAATGGGCCTCAGAGTCTCTGAAAAGGCCCACTTATTGCTAGTGAATCCCTTTCAAAAGAACAAAAAGGACAGAAGCTTCAAGAAGGCCAAAATAAACACAATTTTAAGCTGAAGATTTTAGCAATTCACATCCTCCTTGAAGATTGCAATCATGCTGTTAAGCTTCAGAGCATACAGTTCTGTGTTTACAGACTGATGCAGTGCTGGATTTTTTTTAAAAAAAATAATGCTTGATTTTCAGAAGCAAAATTGTTATTTTAGTGAGGAGAAATTGCCCACAGCCCAACCAAGAAATATAGTAAGCGGCCTCTCGAGATTTTTTTTTTTCCTCACCAAGAAAATAAGAGCCACAAGTCAGTCTGGAAGCAGCTTTTGAAGTCGCTGCTGTTCTGTAACTTTGAACTGAAGGGGACCAATATCCTGTCTACCCCTCCCTTTAGCTTTCTCCCCCAAAATCTGGATAAATGGTTTGTGAAAGAGGTTTTCCTGTATTATTCTGAACCAGAACGACTGGATGGAACTAATTTCAGTTGCTGCTCAGATTGGTGTCTATTCACAGGGAGGGGTGGAAGACCCAATTCCTTTAATCTTGGAAGGCCCACTACATGCCAGAGTAGGTATTTTCCAGAAAATGATAAAGTTGATAAGAAAAAAAAAAAAGATCTCCTTTCTCATGCTGTGGACTTCACTTGGAGTGTCCATTTGATTTGAGTTGCGGTGGTTTTTATGAATCCACAATTGAATTTTTAATATACAATTAATTTTTTTTAGGAAATCATCCGCATGCACCATCAAAGTCATTGCAGATATTAATTTAACAGATATTAATTTAACAGGAAAATAAGGGCAGGGTGGATGTCCAAAAGACTGGCAGTTTTCTCCTAAAATGGCCAACTCCATCTACATAGATTTCTTTATAAAAAGTGTAGGTTCTGTTTTGACCTCAGGCAGGGAACTTGTAGCTCTCTGAGTATAATTTCTGGCAAATCCTTCTAAAATGGCCATTGATGATGGAATCTGGGAATTAAGTTTTAGAAATTATTATTGTCCTTATTTTCAGCAACATTTGGAAATCACAGGTTTCCTGCCTCAACATTTAAGCATAAAGAATTACATGCGTAATTCTAACAAAAGCAAAATATTTACAGCATGCAAAGGACAAGGTAAATGAGGGCTACATCATCCTCACCACCATTATGAGAACGAACAAAAAGTAACAGTTCCATCTATATACTAAAAGTAATTCAATAATAAAAATTTGCATGAAAAGGCTTCATAGCATAAATTGGGACCCATATCATCTGGAATGCACAAGTTTCCAGTCTATCAAAATGTAATGTCAACCAGGAAACAAAATGCTATGAAGATAGCATCAGTGCTGTTCTATTGTTTATGCATCTCTTTTTTTTCCAGAAGCAAAGAGCATTCTGAAAACTCATGGATGTGAAAGCCATGCAACTTTGCCACCAGAATAAAAGACATTTCTTTTATTGCCCTATGTCAGGGGTCTGCAACCTTAAACACTAAAAGAGTCATTTGGACCCGTTTCCCACAGAAAACACTGTGAGCCTCAAAATCTGGGTGGGTGAGGCCAACTTGATGTCCCTCCCACCCAGGCACATGACCTACCCACCCCCACCACGCCTACCCAGGTTTTGTGGCTCCCAGTGTTTTCTATGGGAAATGGGTCTCCCTCCCTCTCATTTCAGTTTTTTGTGCTTTACCTTCTCAGGCCAGGCAAGGAGTGACTGGGAAGGGAGGGCAAGGGGTAGGGCCAGCTAGTGTCACTGCAGAGAGCCCAAAGAGCCGCATGCGGCTCCAGAGCTATAGGTTGCTGACCCGCCCTATGTGATACATAGATATAATGAACTCCCACCCTATAATTGATCAGTTCTTTTCTTGTTTCCTTCATTGGTTTAGAGCAGTGGTCTCCAACCTCTGCGGCTTGGAGAGCCAGATTGAGCGGGGGGAGAGGGGGAAACCAGACTGCACGAGTAGCAGGCTGGCGCACATGTGCATACACATGCAGCTTGACTGCAAGTTGACCTGCGTGCGCCTATACCTACATGCCGCCCTGCCACTCACACAAGTCAACTGTGCAGGCGCATGGTCCGACTGTGAACTGAGCCATGCTTGGGGATTCTTGGTTTAGAGAATTCTCTTCAGTTGCATGGCTCAATTATTGATATACCTCCAGTCTAGCAATTATAATCTTAAGGGAAAATTCATCATGAACTTTGACTAGAATGAGAAAAGTATAATTATTTTTATTTGATATTTTATATAAATATTTATATTAATACTTAACAGTTTCCTGATGAATTCATGAGAAAGTTTTATACTATTTTATTTTAGTGTCTTCTGAATGGAGAGAAACTCTGCACATATTCCATAGCATTTTTGTTCCCTAATAATTTTGAGCTTACACTTTTTTCCTGAACATTCAAGAATTATTGCTGATTCCTGAGTTTTTCTGGAATGTCGGCCTTAGCTTAGCTAAATGAAGTTTTGAATCAATTTTCAGTTGGTTGTGTTTGCTGTTAGAATTATTTCAGACATAAATAATAAATCCTTTTTCAGTTTTCGTGGTTTGGGTTTCTCCTGGATATGTAATCTCAAAGATCTCAGAGAGCTAGACGGTGCCTCCATTTTCATCTCCAGGGGCTGTAGTCACCCTTTCTCAAGCATGAGATTTCCAGACCGGTTTCATTGCGATTTGCTAAGTTTGAAAGCATGAGAAAAAATGCTCCTTGATTAGGATATTGTAGGCCCTAATGAGTATCTGTGATGTTGGGCTCTGACTGCTGATTCAGCTGAATGCTTTATTTAGTGCCTGAAAATAAATCGGAATGTTGAGTGATTGACTCAGAGTAAGCTTTCTTGGGCCTATATCCTGTCTGTTAGAAAAATTACTGTGGACAATTTCCAGGTTAGTTTGCACCCAGTATATTCCCAGTCAATTCTAGATTACAGCAAGTGTACATATATATCACTTATTTCAGCTCGGGAGGAAATATGTTAACTGGAAAAACGAAAAGGAAAAAATAGGCAAAAGCAAGGAGAGAGAGACAAAGAGAGAGCTATATAGCAGTAAACATGAATTTGTATTGTTTATATATTGCCGGCTCTGTGCCCATTTCTTTTCATCTTTGCAATCCAGTCATCAACATACACACCACGTGTCCTTAGTAATGTTTATTTTAACACATTTTATCTTCTTTTTCAGGTTTTTCCATCATGTTTGGAAAGAAAAAGAAAAAGATTGAAATTTCTGGCCCTTCCAATTTTGAACACAGGGTACACACTGGATTTGATCATAGAGAACAAAAATTCACCGGGCTACCTCAACAATGGCATAGTTTGCTGGCGGACACAGCAAATAGGCCAAAGCCTATGGTGGATCCTTCATGCATCACACCCATCCAGCTTGCGCCTATGAAGGTACTTTACCAGGTTTTCTCCCTTTCATTTTCTTTTCTTTGTGACAAATTTATTAGATTTTTTTCAAAAAAAAAAACTAGAAAAATTAAAAACTAACAGAAATCAATTGTTAAACTTGAAAAGGAAAAAAAAGAAAGAGAAAGCAAATAGTTCAGAAAGAAAAGAAAGGAAAAGGAAATATAAAAAATGAAGCTTCTGGTTTTCTTTTCCAATAGTTATAGGTATCAATTTAAACTGACCTCTTACTCTAAGGTTAGGAAATAATATTCATTTTTCTCTATTATCTAATATTTTTTTAATCATCAAACTCATATGTCATCAAATATATGTCATGTGTTTCTGTTTCACACAAAAAGGGGTTTCCAATCAGCATTACAAAGAATTTTACCTTTTCACCATCAGTGTTGCCGTCTCAGCAAGTTTCATTGTCTTCACCATCCCCTCTTCCATTGTGGGTCACATCAGTCCTTTCCACCATTGTGTATATAAAAATCTCACTGCTGTTATTGCATAAAAAAACAAAGTTCCATAGTTGTTTCCCAACTTTTTGTCAATCAGCCCCAAAATAAATATCTCTGAGTTCAGTTGTATATTAATCTTTAAAATCTGAATTAATGTGTATTTGAATCCACTTTTTACAGGTGCACCAAGCATGAAAGTCCCCTCATTCATATTTCCAACTTATATTTGAAGTGCCTTTATATATTTTAGACAATTTTTCCAGTGACAAATACATTAATGATACATCATTTTATAAAAGTTCTATTTAAGGTTGTAAACATAATGTGAATTTCAATTCTTTCAGCCACATATTCTCCTATTGTTTCCTTTGTATATTATTACATAAATTTTATCTCATTTTATCCAATATACTTTCTGTGTTAAATTTTAATATACATTTTATACATTTTAGCAATAATATGTTCATTATTTGTACATTGTTCTGTTTCAAATTCAGTCTTTTAAAAAACTTCATTCCATATTTTAGCATGCTTATTTTGAAACAACATACAATTCATATTTGTCAAATTTACCCTTCTCTCAAGCTTGAAACCCATTCTATCGTCTCTTCTGTTTGATCTAGTAACTTCATATTTTGTTTATTAATCTTAAAAATCAGCTAATATATTTTGATTCATTTTCTTTGATGCCAAAAATTGTATTGATTACACAGGCCATTTCTCTTTCCTTTTCTGTGAGTGAAATGTAAATTAATATTCCAAAACATGTACTTCTGTTAAATAAAAAAATATGTAATACATTAGAGATATGAGCTTTTATGCAAACCCTTGACCTCTCCCCTGTTATTCTGTTACAGATTGCAGATGACTGTCTTCTCAGGGTTCCAGCTATTAATATTACTTGCCCTGTATCACATAAATCCTTAGGCAGACTAGATTGAAAAGTAGGGATGAGCTGCAGAAAATAGATAAAATATTATAAGCCTGTGTTTGGTCATCTGGTTACAAAACTTATTGAGGTTAGTGGATCTTACCTCTGAACAGACATCTATACATTAATGTTGTTAATTGATCCACCTGAAAGAAAATAAGGGACAACATCCACATTTGATACTGTCTTGGGATCAATACCATAGGGTGCTTCTGCAGCTATCAGTTGCCTTGCTTGGCTTCCAGGGCACTATGTTTTATTTATTGGTTAAAGGCATTTTTATTGTATAATTTTAAAAAAATGCTGGATTGCCACAAAGCTGAGTAGGAATAGAATTCTCTTCATTTCTTTTTTTTAATTGCCATCTAAGAATTTGATTAATTTTCCACATAAAAAACAACATAAATTAACAATGAAGAAATAAGATACAGAGTAAAGAGAACAGAAATAGAAGTGCAAAAACATAGAGAACAAGAAAGGAAAACAAAAAAAATATATACAAAGAATTATTTCTTCCAAGAATATAGGAAATACTTACATTCAACTCTTACTATAAGACTGTACTATAATGTCCATTTACCTTTTTAAATTTTTACAAACATCAAAACCCTGTCAAAATATGAATTTTCTCCAGCTTCTACAAAAAATCCAGAAAGAGCTTCCAATTAAGATGAGTCAATGAATTCCTTCCGTGATTTTTCTCTCACAACTTAACCATCGTTGCCAGTTATCTTTATTAACCATTCCTCTATTGTAGGTATTGTAGCATTTTCTGAAAGTATGCATGGAGTCTGCATGCGCAGACCCATTGATATTCTTAGAAAATAAAAAAGGGGTGATTGGTTTCAGACCAACACTTCGTAAATGTGCCTACTTGTCCAGAACAAAGCAATTATGTAAGATGGGAGTGAGACTAAACCTCAGCATTTTCCCTCATAGTTGATTATATTTTGTAACAGTTCAGGTTCTTTGTGACTGCTATTTTGGGAAGGCTGCAGCCAGGCTTTCTATGGGTAGCCCTTCTATAAGTGCCCACAGCATGCTCTGAAAATGGCATATTCCTCTTTTGGCTCCACAATATTGGGGATTTGGGGAGTCCATCCAAATCCATGTTCACCCGATGTGGAACATCTGATCTAGGACAAGCATTGTGGTTTGCATGCTCTTTACATGTGCAGTCGTAAAAAACAAAGATATTTAGAAGTCTTCTACAAAGCTTGTCTGGGCATAGAAAATCAGAAAACTGTGTGGAAAAAAACACATGTTGAACCTGTGGTAGTGCTTTGATACACGCAAAAACATACAGCAGTATATGTCTGTAGTGAATTAAAAGTTGAATTGTCTCTTGATTGAGGTTTAACTTAGAACAAAGGTGTGAAGTTTACCTGTCTCACCCAAATTAATGATGATATTGAAAAACATAACACAAAGGCATGGCTATACAAAATGGGATGTGGGATTTTTTTTGTTTACTTCTATATTCCTCATACACCAACAGATCTTCTGTAACTAAGTTTCATTTGGAAGAATATCTTCTAAAGAAGTGCTTCTCAACCTTGTCGATTTTAAAATATGTGGAGTAGGAAATTCCTAGCGTGCTGGTTAAGGAATTCTGGAAGTTGAAGTCCATGCATCTTAAGGTCCCAAGCTTGAAAAACATTGTTCTAAAGTAACATCTTATTACTGTCAGAAGATCTTATGTTTTATTTTAATTCAGTAAGTGAAAGTTTAAATACACAATTTTTATGTAACACATTAACGTACAACAAGTCTTAACATTGTATTTCACCTGCGACACAAAATGAAAACATATTTTTCTGTGCATTGAATATATTGTTTCTGCTACTATCATGTGTAAAAGTCTGTCCTGGCAGTCCCATAAATTATATTTATCTGAGTGGTTTTTTTTAAACTGTTCAGTAATAGTATCTTGCATCTTATTCAGAGAGAAATCCAGAAGACCTAATTAGGTTCCCTGGTTTAATTAGGAGAGTTCGTTTGCAAGGTAGGCCTTAACTCCTGATAAGATGTACTCCTTGGGTGGAGGTGTTCATTTGGAAATACATAATAGTATTAATGGTTTTTTAAGATGGCAGCCAGGGAGAAATTAGTGATACCAAGCAAGCAAGCAAATCCATTTACAAGAGAAGGAGTAAGTAGCTAATTATATTCCAGCTGTTGTTGGACTATGAATACTTCTTACCAGTTATCAGTTTTTCTAAGGATCCTAGCAAATGTAAAACAGAAAAATTCCCAGTTTGCTTACATCTGGATTAGAGAATTGTTGCATTAAAATATATAGATAAAATATTTTGTTTCTTAGACTGGTTCTTGGAACACCAGCACATTTTCTGTCCTGATTGGCATCTAGTTCCCAAGATTTATCAAAGAAGCCCTTTTGAGCATTATCTGAAAAAAATCAAGATCTTAATCGGAGATCTTTGTAAAGCAAAAGCACTACCATTGAGTGACTTTTTTATTATATATTACTCATTCAATAATAATAATATGTTTATTTTTCTCCAGGGGTTTGTCAAACAGAGTAGGTTTTGCATATGTCACAAATGTAGCATATGCAGTTTTAATTTTGCTCTTTGAACGTAAAGTAATTATTTCTTGTTACAGCTAGTCCTCGACTCACAGCTAGGAAAAAAGGTCCATTGTGGACAATACATTTGCTTAACTACAGCATTAGCTTAACAACTGTCATAAAAAATGGGTAAAATTGGGTTAGCCACATGACAACCCACTTAACAATTGACACAATTTACAACTGTAATTCCAGGCTCATTTAGGGTCATAAGTCAAGGACTATCTGTGCTTTTGGCAGAATGCATCTTGCTTGCTTGCTTGCTTGCTTGTTTGTTTTGGTTTACCTTGGTTTCTGTATTTCTCTCCTATCACTGCCACCACAATACCAATTCTGAGGCATTCTTTAGGAGCAACTCCATATAATTAAAAAAATAAAGATATTAAGAAATTAGAAATAATATAGTAAACTGTCAAGCAGGAAAGGATTCGTTGTCCCAATTATTAGGTAAAATTGTCTTTGTAAATTGGGATCATTAAATATAAGGCACACAGACACACACACACACACACACACAGAGTGTTATTTTAGTATCTGTGTCTCTACAGCTACTTTCTAAGAAGAAATTTGAATTGCAAACTCCAGGACTGAGTCATTTATCTTTCACATCTACCCCAAATTAGGATAAACATTTTTGCAAAAATAAATGATGTATGCTATATCCTGACACAGACCACTATATATGAGAGATGCAAACTTGGCAGCAAATATTTGGGATTAATCTATTCCCCTCTTGAGTTTAGACACTGGCAATATATTACTTTGAATAATTAAGTCACAAAAAGGCTGAGTCTGATCAGTATTACATTAGCATCTGCTGAACCTTTAAGAAATGGCCTTGTCCTACCTTCTTCCAAACCTCACTGCCAAGCAATCCAGATTAATTTGTCATATTGATTTTCCCACCCCCATCAAAAAAACCCAACAACCATTTTGAATGTTTATCATTTGGGCTTCATTAGGATAGTAAATGAAAATTGGTAGTATGTTATCTATGGAAGTCTGGATGAAAAATACT